TTGAACCACCAGCCTTCTGGTTAGCAGTCAAGTGCCTTGGGGCACTATGCTACCCTTGGGAAAATCACTTAAACTTCAGGTTCTTCCTCTGTAAAACAGAACACTAGAGTACAGAAAATTATACCAAAGTCTGCAGGCCAAATCTTGCCCATTGCCCGTAAATAAACCTTTATTGGGAATACCAGCACATTCACTTTTACATATTGTGTATGGCTGCTTTTACCCTTCAATGGTAGAGTTGAGCAGCTGCTACAGAGGCCATACGACTCAGCCCTTTACAGGAAAAATGTGCCAACTACTGCCATAAGAGAATCCACATGACCACTAGTTGCAATTGAGTTGATTCTGATTTATGATGACCCATGTGTGTCAAAGAGAAATGTGCTCTGTGAAATTTTTAATGGTTGATTTTTCAAAAGTAGACAGCCAGGTCTTTCTTCCAAGATATCTTAGGGTAAATTTGAACCACCAGCCTTTTGGTTAGCATCCAAGTGCTTAACTGTTTGCATTACCCAGAGACCTGTTGTTGTTATGTGCCATCGAGTCATCTCCAACTCATAGTAACCTTATGTACAACAGAACAAAACACGGCCCAGTTGTGTACCAGCCTCATGATCCCTACCATATCTGAGCCCATTGCTGTAGCCACAGTGTCATTCCATGTCATTGAGGGCCTTCCCAGAAAATACCCTTGTCTTCTTATCTGAAACCCTTTTGTAGTTTATAGAGTACCATACCAAATTCTCTTATTTAGTTATGTGAAACTCTTGTGGACTATAATGTACATAGTATAAGTTAATATGGTTCTTGGATAACCTGTGGAAACATGACAATGACTCAAATAAAAATGCAGTTGTTGGTCAGAGTGCAACTGGTGATACTCACAGGGTCAAGGTTTCATTGCACAGCCCCTGAAAAGCATTCATGGGAATTGAAGTCACAAAAGGGTTGTCTGTCATTTCACTGCAAGAGAGAGGGACAGAAACACTTGAGGAAAAACTATTTTGATCTTGGAGCTGATCCAATTTAGGGTTCTTGCTGCACATATGCACTTAAATAACTAACTTTCCACAATATTTAAAATTCTTATCTCTTTTAGATTTACATTGAACTTCCTTAGCCACTCGCGGCTCAGAAGTCCAGTGAGGTGGTGAGAGCTGTCCTCCATGGACATGCACTCAGAGCCCCAAATGTGCAGTAAACAAATGAGACTTGGGTGCAGGTTGAGGTTCCTGACTTAATCTTCATCTACAAGAGGAGCAGGTGCATCTTCAGAAGGTACTGAATCTGTGATGCACAACTTTTTCTCTAGAAAATTGAGTGTTCTAAGTGTATGAGATCTCTAAGGATGGTCAGGAGAAATGGATGGGTGGATTTCATTTGAGAAGCGTCACTAAAATGTTCTCCACTTGCACAACTCTGCCAGGCAGATGCTCCTATAGAACGTTTCTGTGCCAACCTAGTTCCTGGAAGACAGCCTATATTTTGCATTGAGCTCTTATGCAGTAAAGAAGTGTCATCACTTTTTTTCTGGCAAAAGCTCTAGAGTTTGGATCTCATCACTCTACATTTTGCTGACTCTGTCATGTAAACTCAACCTGTGATTCTCTCTGAGTATGTCCTTTCTTTTCTGGGCAATTAGAGGAAGACAACTGACCTATGTTATTGGATTTGGAAAAGAGCACACAGCCATCAATCAGAAGCCACAGGAGGAAGTTTGAGCTTCACTACTCAGTGCTCCTTGGGATTTCACTGTGTCCTCATTTGTCAAATGGGAAAAACTAACTTTCTTTTATGCCATGTAAGGTGGTTGGGAGGAGTGAATGTGATAAAGCATGGGAAAATGTTTAAAATGTTATTAAAAAGCATATCAAACATAAGGTGTGATCATTGTCATCAGAAAATTTCCTATTAATCACTTTCATCAGCACACAAACATGCCATAATTTCTCCCATCAAAAACTCACAAACATCTTGCCTCAATATCATCCACATTACTGCAAACTTTTCTGCTCGCATTTTATAGCAAAGTTCTCAAAAGAGTTCGTTATAGTCACTCTCTAGAATTTTTCACCTGTGATGATCTCTTGAGCCCACTCGAACTGAGCTTCTCCACCCCCAGCACTCACTGGCACTTGTCAGAATCCCCAAAACCCCACATGCCTAAATCCAATGCTCCTTTCTCAGTGCCTGCCTTACTTCATGAATCAGTACATTTGTCATCACTGATCACTCCTTCCTCTGAAGCAATTGTCTCACTTGGCTTCCACCAAGCCCTGTGGCTGCACCCTAGTATTTGTCAGTACCACAAAGAATATTGCTAAGCGCTGCATGCGTGCATACTTACAGTATAAAAAATACTTCGGTGGAATAAACTTTGGTCAGGTCAGGAAATACTTTAAGTCCAGTGTTGAAAATTCCACTAAATTATATTAAAAAACAAAACAAAACAAAACAAAAAAAAAACAGAGAGAGCAAAAGGTATACAATTTAGGTCACGAAATCAATACATAAAAGTAAAACGCAACCACTGCCGTGGAGTCGGATCTGACTCATAGCGACCCCTCCTTGGGTTTCCGAGATGGCAGTAGATTGCCCAACCTTCCTTTGAGGAGTGGCTGGTGGTTTTGAACCGCCAGCCTTCTGATTGGCAGTCAAATGCCTTAGGCACTACACCACCAGAACTGCCATAAAAAGTAGATTAATGTAAAAGCTGGAAGCATGGGTTCTAAAGTCAGACTGGAGTGGCAGTGGACATATTCTAATCCTTGGATGAAACCGTGTTCCCACAAGGTTACATGAGTTCACACCAGTCCTCCAGTGTTAACATATCTGCTCTGCTTGGAGGAA